TGGATGAGTACAACTGCCGATTGGGTGCTATCGCAAAATATGGGGCATCCCCTAAATCGAGGAGCGGACAGCAATTTCGAGGAAAATGGAGATTGTTCATACATCCTGCAGTCTCTCCTTCGCTGTCTAAGACTCAGTCCCCTTTTACCAGAAATGAGATGTTCCACGCCGCTATTGAATGCATTGGCACCACAATGCCCCGTATCCTGCGATAGCGCCCACTTGTTTGTTTTCATCCGTAATCTCCCGCTAAAGAGATGCGAGACTGAATGTCTAGGTTCAAGAATGGTCGCTTTAGTCATCTTCCAACACCCCAAGTGGTGAGCCCTCACCCAGCCTTAAGAAGGGAGTGGCCTTTTCCGGCACAATCCCTCCTACGGCTAGGGGTTTTTTACGTAAGTTTTGCTTGTTTTCCTTACTGGCGGTCCTACTCGATACCAGTTACGGTATCAAACTTCCACAGCAGCAAATCGTGTAACGCTAACTTTCTAGCCCAACGCAACCGACAGCCACACCATTAGCACAAAACATTTGCAGGCGATTCAGACTAATTTTGAAAGTTGCAGCTCAAAAAGAAAGGAAGTGGTGCCAAGGGTAAAACTTCTGCAAGGAACCAAAAACCGAAGCCGGAACCAAAGAAATCCTCTCTGAAAGACAAAATGAAAAAAGAAAAAGGCAAGAAAAAGAAGGATGATAGAGATAAAAAGAAAACAAAAAAGAAGGTAGCCGCCATCCAGGCCATGTCTTCTGAAGATGCGGTGAGGCTATCTATGGGCTTATCGTTGACTGCCGTTAGTATTTGGGTATCAGAAATGAAGTAGTTTAGTCTAATGAAACCGAAGAAGAAGACTCGTCGGACAGCGACGATGAATGCCAAGCGAACAGCAACACTCAACCGTCAACCATCAAACCCACAACGATACCGCAAGCTCTTAGAGTCCCAGAGAAAAAGGTACTGTGGGAAAATTTAAGAACATTTTTTTGCTGAAGGAATAAGGTCAAGGGGCTTGTTCAAATGCAATGAGAATTACCCCTGCCTACGGTGGTAATTGGGTCCAATTGGATTGACCTCTCCTTTTCTATGGTAATCAATCCTTACGATCTTCCTAGTTCAAGTTGAACGAAATGGTTGAAGGCTCCCTTTTGTAAATCACCAACATTTTTCCGCTCACGTTCCCAGATTTTCGTGGTCATGGAATTATGAGGGGAACGTAGGCTACGGCTAGGAAATACAGGGTAGACCGACAAAGGAAGTGTCATAGACAAGAACGATTAATCAGTATGGTAAAGTGGTTCCACAGTGATCAAGCTCGCGGTGGGGCGCACAGTATCACATATTATCAACTTGTTTCCATGTGCCCACTTGTCATTTTTTCACGCTACCTCGCAGACTTGGAGAGCTACCCTGGGGTAGTCATGGAAACGGGTGCTGAACTGCTCCAGGCTAAGTCCCGGTTGAAGGACGTCTGTACGCGCGCTCTGGTTGAATTGCGCGCTCCAATGTCAACAGCGCGCTCTAGTGCAACGTGAATTACGGTGGAACCAATTCACCATACTGATAAGGCGTTCTTATGGATCCTAGTCAACAAAAATAGATTTTGAGTTCGTTTTGAATGTGTGAAACACTATAGCCTTATCACGCAGTGACAGCTATACGTGTTATGGTTAATTTTGTTAGCAGTATCTCTAAAGTGCTTGCACTCCTGCTCAGATTTTCAGCTGTTACAGCTCATTTTAAGTTTCATTCTAATCGCTGAAGGGAGTATGTAGCTGCTTTGAAACAGTTCTTTCGATTCCAAGTCTTGAGCATGACATGACCTGAAGAGTTTCTCAGGTCCTACCCGGTGCATCAATAGCTCCACCGCAAAACCCAGCATGGTACACTAAAAGAATACTCGAGGAGGAGAGGCCGGATCTGGCCGGCAAAGAAGGAAGGCTCGACATGGAAGTAAGCAATCGTCTTCACTTGTTGTTTATAATAGTGAAGCTAGCCTGTAATAAGTATTTCTAACAAATTTTCAGAGCACCGAGTTGGATCTTCTCGACAGACATGTACGAGATCGTGCCGAGCTTCAAATAGAAGACCTCATAGTAAATGACGATAAGTGAGTCAAATCACGGAAACGAGTGCTACTAGCACCTGCTAATCTTGCCATTGACAATAAATTTGGCACCTAATCCTGATCAATGGCAGCAATCTGCCTATAAAGGTAGTAATTCAATGCCCTGATTACGAATATGACATTCATTTTTGATGCTGGCGCCACCTTGTCACGACGGCTGTTTTCACCAAATTCGCTGTAAACTTGTACATAGGGGTTATTTGGGGTCCTGATTACGAATATGACATTCATTTTTGACTTGCGCCATTTGGCGCCTATTTTCTGCTCGTCTGCGCCCTCGCACTGGGTTGATCGCTATCAGGACTAAGCCCTTGGGTAAGGGAGGGCTCAGAGGTGAGTGAGCCAATGAAGCGAAGCTGACACGTCTAAAGAAGCCTTATTGTCTCAAGAAGTTCACTGGATTGTGCGTGTGAAGCTAATTTATACAGTCCATATCTCGCCGTCTGATTAGGAGCGTCTACGGGTTAAGACGTGGCCGTCGTCCGCACTTGATAGAAGTTGCGTGGATAAGCTGCTTCCAGCATGCTTTGCTGATATCCAGCGATGTATGTCAGAAGCAGCTTATCCACACGACTTCTATCAAGTGCGGCGGGTCAAATTCATGGACACACCTAATCAAACGTCGAGATATGGATTGTAACTTGTAATAGTCCCACTCAAATTGAAGCAAAATAAAACAAAGTCAAATAATCACGCGAATACGTGAAATCCAGGTTGAGTCGGCTGATAATTTTTTCAGCGGGTAACCATTAAAGGAATCTTGCGCGGAAAATTCTTGCACTCTTTCCTAACATGAATATGTCAGTTGTGAT